GGGAGAGAGAGAGAGAAAGAGAGAAAGAGAGGAGAGGGGGGACGAAAGGTTATATCCATGACATCACATATTGACCCATAACAACAACAGTTACTACCAATCATGCTTCCTCATCGGTGCTCTCTTCTTCACTCTCGTAGCTGTCGAATTCATTGTCTTTCTCCGTGAGAAATGGATGCAGAAGTAGTTCCGCAATGGTGGGACGACCTCCCGCTTCCTCTTGGAGACACTGCACGGCGAAACTAACAGCGGAAGGACTCAACGACATGAGATCAGGAGAGAGAACATCCATTTCTAACAAATCTGCTGTTTCAAACAGTTTTCCTGCGGGTGCCACAAGCTGCAAAAAAACAGCTCCCAGAGCCCAGATATCAGCACTATAATCAAACACGGAACTTCGTCTAATTTCCGGGGCACAACAGCGCCAGACGCCTCGTCCCACATCACTAGAAGGCACAAACAAATCTATAGGAAACACATGCTGCGCTAGAAGAATCCTTCCTGATGGCTGATGCTTGTGAAGCACCTCCAGACGCAGGTGCCCATGCACCAATTGACGGCTATGAAGTGCATACAAAGCTCGCACAATTCCGCGCACTACCCAACGTGCCTCCTCCTCCCTGATCGGTGGTTGTAACGGCTCCAATACACCCTCAACAGGAGGTTCTGCCTTGAGTATAAGATAGCGCGGCGAAATCCGTGCGTCCTTGTATTGAAATAGTAAGGGAGATGAGGGCCACTGCGTCAGAAGATGAATTCGGCGTTGAACAATCTCAACCTTGTCAACAAAAATGGCATGTTTCTCTATTTTTATTTCTGGCATGCACTGAACCTACCGGTAACGAGAGAAAAAAAGTTATGTACCTGTTCCATCCTTGTAGAGAGCCAGCAAAAGGGGATTTGCACAGTATCCTCCTCTTTCACACACATCCCCGCTCATGTTTATTGTTGAAGAATATATATATATATATATATATATATATATATAAACAAGATTATTCCACGACACCCATATAGATGCACAAGCATGTTTCCTCCCTCCTTTCCACTTTTCCTTTATTTTCTTCCACCACGGCTATTGCTTGCCTTTGCCGCTACTCTGGCCAGCATCAGCAACCTCAGGAATAAAGTCCTCCTCGCGAAATTCCGTCTGTGTTGCTTTCCATCTGCCCGCTGCAAAGTTGGCCCCCTTTCGTGATGGCACAGTCGCCACGTTAACTGCTGCAGCAGGAAAAGATGTGGAAGACCAGCCACTCATCGGACGCGGGGGCTCCTCTCGCATAAGAGGGTTCATGCCCCTTGCGTAGCCGGCAGTATTGCAGCGCCTTTGGAAATCGTTTTGCGACGTTGCCGCTTTGTCCTTCAGAAAACCAGTATTTTCCTCGGACTCCGGGTTAAACAGATGCGTTAGATAAGGAAACTGCACGCACATGCGTGCATGAAGGTCGTCCGGCTTTTCCACAGCCTTCGTAGGCTCCAACTGTGATTGCTGGGCCGGAAAATTAAACCACGCGCGAAATGCCGTGGAGCGCAATAGCAAAGGCTGAAGCAAACCAACTAAACTCATACCAAGAAAATAGAGAGCCACCCCCGCGCGAATGTGCGCCGCTGCAGGGAGAACACAAAGACAACCGAGACGGGCCCCCCAAACAAGAGTCGACATCCATCCATTCTTAAGATCTTTGCTGATCGACAGTTCAAAGTTCATTAGCGTCAGTCCACAGAAAGTCAGCGGTAGGATACCATAGGGATCTGTCATGGTGAGTGCTGGGCACCACAAAAAGGAGGAAGTGCCAATATTATATCGTGGATTTTCACACATGGCGGTTGTTTCGATGATGCCAAAGAGCACTAGTGGCGTTCCAAGCAGCGATGAAAGACACTGTAGATTCGAGGTTTTTTCCTCCAAGAAGATACGCCGACGCTCTCCCTTGAGAGCAATGGCGGCCAGCTGAATGTCCAGCGCCGCCGACCCTTCGCGATAATACACACGTTGAAACGCCTCATGTGGAACCTTTAGCCGCCGCATGGCAGTCCGCATCCGCTCCGACGCACGCTCCCCGTAAAGCGAAAAATACAGCGTACAGAGTCGGCTAAGAGCCCCAAACAAAATAATGGCGATTGCTGAATCGAGCCCCAACGCCGCTTGACAGGTGACAAAGATGTCTGCAAACGGCGATGCATCTGGTAACGGCGGCAGACTCTCGGTTGCCCCGAACCACTGGCGGTTCCAGACGCAATCCAGGTACTCGAAGTAGGTTTTGTGGCCCTCGTTGCCACCACCACTACCAAGACTAGCAACACCGCCGGCTCCTCCTGCGACAGAGACAGCGCGTCGACTCGTCACTAGAAACGGGCACCTTATTGCACCTCGCAGGGGAATACGTCGCCCCACACGCTGCATTCTAACCCTGTGTATGCGTGCGGAAACAGAGCAAATAATAGTAGTAATAATAATAACAATGTACACCTGCATAAGTAAGCAAGTACATCCCAAAAAAAATGAACATAAAAAAAACAGGAAATAAAAATAAACACCACCTGCACACACCACCTTGATGCATTCAATTTGTTTACTGTTTTGAAGCTTTTCTCAAGAAGGTGTACACGTGTACGAAAATGACCCTTCCTTCCTGAACCTGTACCTCTTTCCCTTTCACTTTCCCCATGTCTTTCCAGAAAAGCACACCCGGTGGGACAAGGGCGAGAGACACTCGTAAGAGAAGGCGGCAAAGCGAAAAATCAGCCACTACGCAACACACAAACCAAAACACACACACGCCACCCACAACTTAACTAAATGAGAGCAGAACGGGACGCAAGTGTCCGTCAAGTCTTCTCTGTAATGAGGCTGTCTTTAACTTGAGAAGTCCCATCTCCAATTCGGTGCCTATCATGCAAAGTATCGCCGATCCTCCCACAGACATAGCGCAAAGCTTCTTTTCACCAAAGTCTATCAGGACTTGCTCCAACGCTTCTGCTTCTGCCGCATTTGTGATTTTATTTTTTGTCAGGTCGTTATGAGCACAGGCACGCCATACGTTTCCCGTTGCGGCAACAATCATTGAGTGCTCCTTCTGCCAGACGTACTCCGGATTCAGCGACGCCGAGGAAAGCAGGACGCCGTTTTCATCAAGCAGAATGACGGCCTCAACGCCGTTCCCCAGAGCGTTTTTCATGGAACTATTAATAAAAGCCGCGTCAAGCATTCGTCCCTTTTCCGCTTCCCTCCCAACACCTTAATTTTCTTTTTCGTTTTATTTTGGATGTTTTTACATGGGCCAAGCAGAAACAAAGTAAAAAAAAAATGGCTTAAAGAGAACAAGTTTTTCTTTTTTTTTGCTTCTTTCGTTTTGTTTTCTCATTCCTGTATCTGTCTTACAGGGGCACTGGTGGGAACAACAACAACACTGGCAGGGAAGAGACCACTGTGACCCGCGCTTTCTGCTGCCCCAACAGATGATAAACACATCCTCGGAGGGCAGCCACACCCCTATTTGCACTAGAGGGCCCTGAACTAAACTGGAAAGCTCCAAAAAAAAAAACACAACAACAACAACAACGAATAAACACACACCCACACGCACGCAGAGGGAGTGAGGAAGGGAAAGAGAGAGATAAAAATAAAAATGGTGACTACGTTTGACTGCGCTGACTGCTATGTTTTGGGCAGCGAAGCTCAAACGTGCTATCATTCAGCACGGCCCCAGCGTCCACTGCACACCTTAGATGATAGCTGCGTTGACAGTGACCATTTACACAGCCAATGGGTGCACCCGGTTGTCGACAATAGGCACATTTAATGTCTTGACATCGCTCTAACACGACACTAATATTTTTTAATGTTGCTTCTTTTGTGTTATAGTACACTTCTGGGCACCAGAGAGCACATCCCAAGTGGACGTGGTGGCCTTGGTGACACTCGATGACCCCAGTGGAAGTGTGACAAAATACACAGGTAGCAGGAGGAGCTGCATCCTTCTCTAAGCGATATCGAATGGAGCGTGCAGCCCCCATGACGTCGTTTGCGTTTCGTTCAGTTCTTTTGAGTGACATAGGGAACACATCAGGGCTCAGAGAGAATGGTGAACCCCCGAGAACTTCTGGATCCTTATTCATAGGAACACAACAGTTAAAAGAAGAAGCTGGCGAAATGCCACACGCAAAATGAGAGCTAACACACAATGGTAGCGTCAGTTGCGTCGGAGACACTGCGGCGTGCGTGCATGCGGCGGGGGCCGAAGTTTCCTCATCGTCCTCGTCATTTCTTTCCTCCTCCTCAAGAGGAACGCTACACACATCACCCTGCCCATCCAAAGAGTAGCTTGAGGCAGCTTGAGTAAGAAGCAAGGAAGATTCAGAGTCCGGTGTCATTGTTCCCACGCTTTGTGAGTCTTTCACCTCCTCCAGAAAGGGAGGAAGGAGCCCTTCTTCCCCACAGGGCGGGGAAATCAACAGGGGGGACTCCGCTGAGGCCTGAGTCTCCACGGGGGTGCGCAGAGTGGCGTCGCAATGACGTGGAACATGCAGGATTGTCACAGAACCAAACGTCACATGCTTCAGGTTTCTTTGTGGCGAACTCCCAGCCGGTTTCACCACCATAGCTTCCCACTTCCTTCCCTTTTGAAGCCTTTCTTTCCCTTCGTATTCTTCCGGGCACAAGGTAGAAAAAAAAACAACTAGCCAGCAAAAACGCAGAGGCAGATCCACTGGCGGGTAGATGCTGAATAACACATACACACACACCACTCATCTACACTCGCAAAGTCCTTTTCATCATCCCGCCTATGCGAGCTCTGTCACACACGCCCACACAAGACAACCAACAAATGAAAGACGAGAGAAAAAAAAAAACAATATACACAACACCAATACGCGGCAGTGACATAACCTCGTCAACTCTTAAAAAACATCACCGGCTCCTCAAAAATTGACACCCATTTAAACGGCAAATCATGTTCAAAGTCTTGCGGCAAGTACCGGAACGGTGGCGACAGATTTCTGTGGAGGAGATCAAATGTTTCCAAAAAGGATGCGACCAGGGACCCGTTAAAGAGGCGGAACGACGCAACGGGTTTCTGAAAAGTAGCTAAATGTTGCTGCATGACTTCCATATCTTGTAATTTCTCCATTTGCCCCTTGACAGCTAGCGATGAGGCACCCCTTGTCATCATCTCATGTATTTTGCGTCTCTGCCGCCACATCTCCATTGAAAACTCGTAGTACTTATTTTCTTGCCCATTGCGTATGCTCACGGAAAAAAAGATACCATGAGTGCGGTGTCAACTTCTGCCCCTCCGCCACAAAGAGAGCGGCAACCGATGAACTTGGCATGTGTCCAGCATGCGGATCTTCCACGGCAAGTTTCTGAACTGCCATGCCACGTGGCAGCCGTGACTCTATGAACCTGGTCATGCTCAACACCTTCGCCCCCTCAAAATCACAGAAGCAAATGTGAGGTTCTCCATCCTTTACCCAAATAACACCCACATCATCCCACGCACACTTCAGCAGAACCTTCGACAGCAGGCTGTACAACACATGATCTCATCTAGGCAGCATGTACCATCGATTGCAGATGGCAATCACATCTCCGGTTTTGAATTCGCTTGGTGGCACTTCCGTCATTTGCCGTGTTGCGCGATAGTACAGGTCTCTTCCCTCCGCCACAAGTAGAATTGACAGTGGAATCACCTCGAATATTGCCTTGATATGAATCCAAAGCTTCTGACGCCATGCAAGGCGCGGGCCGATCCGATACCTGCCATAACGCACACCGCTATGACAGCCCCGGAATCGGTAGTGCTAACACCGGTGGCAACCCACACGGAAACAAACATGGCAAAACCAACAGCGGCAATCAGCAAAAAGCGGCAAAAAGAAACAACACCAAGAACAAAAAAAAAGACAAGATAAAAATAACTCCCATTTCCCCCATTTTTTATTTTTTTTGTGTCGCCCTTTCATTTTTTTCCCTCAGCATCTCTTTTCCTGAAAGTGCAACATGGGAGCGAAGAGAAGTAGAGAGGCGATGGTGATGGTGTGCGAGAGACAGCATGTTGGTTTTTTAACGTACTTTTTGCTTTTATTTTGTCACTTTCTCCGCCGCTACTGGAGCGGCCCCGGGGAGACATACATGCAACACCAAAGAGTAGCGGTAATAACGGAAGTCAGAAATATGATGAAACGATAAAAAAAAAAAAGGAGGAGTAACGGCGTTTTTTCCGCCTTGACTACAAATACACAAAGGAAGAGACATCGGGAAAGAGTCCAAAAGCGGAGGCAACACAAACAATATTTCTTTTGGCTTCAGTGGGTACACACACCTCGCACCCTTCCTAGGCCTGTGGTTCGTGGACGAATTGCGCCTCATAGTTGCTGCAGTGCAGCAGCAGCGCGAAGGGAGCGGTTGTCCATAGCAAGCTGCTCTAACTCGTTTGCCATCCGCTCAACGAGCGAATCACACTCTTGGCGCTCCGCCTTGTAGCGACCATGTTCCTCCTCAAACTGAGCAATAATTTTCTTCCGCTCGTCTTGATGGCGTGCTGAAACATCTGACAGACGGCGCTCTAACGCATTCAGCTCCGTTGTCAAACATGCAACGGTGGCTTCTAGTCGCTGTACATGTTCACTGTCCTCATTCGCAGAAACCGTATGAGAGCTTGATAGCACTTTCTGTTGCAACTCAAACAACTCACGTCTAAGCACGTCATTGGCCACTTGCAGACTGGCTATCTGGTGATCCTTGTCGTCAATACGTTCCTTGTACTCCTGCTTCTCAGCAAGAAGAATGGCGTTCTGCGCCCTGAGATCGGCCAGCTGCGACTCCGTTGCAGCACACGCCGCAGCGTGCCCGGACATAACCCGATCCAGCTCCATCTTCAACTGTTGCAGCTCCTCTTCACGTCGCTCCTCCGCGTACGAGCGGCTTCGACCAACTTGGTCGCGCCTTAATTCCTTAACCTCACGCTGTAGCATTTCCTTCTCCTGATACAACTGCTCCACGTCCTTTTCAAGCGTCTTCATACGTCCCAACATCTTTTGGGAGTTGGACTGCTCCGTTGAAAGCCAATGACACGCATCAGACAACTGCTTTTCCATCGCCGCCATCTCGCCTTGAAGGATGTGATTGATGCCCCGAGGGTTGTCGCCTTGCGATAGCATCTGCTCTCGCAATTTATCCCGTTCCTTCTCCATGCGATGCAACTTGTCCTGAAGCTCCTCAATATTAGGGTACACATTTTTGATGGACCCCACACCTCGGTTTCTTCCATCTACAAGTGCCTCGGGGCGGTTGCCTTGCAGAGCATATTGAACCCGCTCTTTCAGGTCGTCTAGCAGCGCCAAAAGCTCGTCTTTATTCGCCAAAAGAAGACCACTGAGGACAATGGCGTCATCCACTTTGACGGACTCCTCCGTCACAGTGCGCATGAAGACCTCACGTGTTGCTCGATTCTGTGTCCCGGAAGGAAGCTCTCTCACCGTGGCGATAAGTTTTTTTGTTCGGGAGCTCAAGCTGTTCTCGGCAATCTTTTCAAGAGTCTGGTTGACGACCTCTCGACTTGTGAGAGGCTCGTGCGGCACAACACGCAAGAGCTCCAGGAACGCCGGCAGGAGGATGTTGGCCTCAATCACCTTCAAGTAACCCAAGAGGTCTTGCAGCATTACTTCCAGCTGGTCGACGAGGTAGCGGGCGGCTTCAGCACGACGGACGGCCTTGTCTTTGCTATCCTCCGCGTACACCACCTCATCAATGAGCTCCGCGAGATGAAGCTCCCGCTTTTTGAGATCACCATCGAGTTTTTCGATCTTGCGGTAGAGCACATTGGCCTCCACCTCATCAGCTGCTGGAACACGGCAAAGCATATCCGTTCCTCCGCAGTGCCGCGGACGCCGGCAACAGCAAGAGCAAAATAAAAGGGAACAACAGTGAGCCTAGACACTTCTCAACACTACCCACCCAGCAGAACAACCGTCAGCGCATGGGAGGTGCATCACGCACAGACACAAACAAAAAAATAATAATAATGAAGAAAGAACAACGGGGGAAAACAATAACAACAGCAACAAAAAAAAAATGTGCCTCAAAATATCCGTTCACGGTGAACGACAGAGAAGCAGGACAATACAAACAGAAATGAAACTTCAGGTAGTTGGGGCGTTAATATGTGATCAGTCTTTCACCTGCCTTCACCAAATCCCCCGCCTTGACTGTGACAAAGGTCTCCCGCGGCACATCTACCACGAGTGCGACAGAGGATCCCCAGTAAAACGTCGAGAGCGGATCCCCTTTACGGAGCAACGGGTCACTTGTGTATAGCCGATGAACTGCATACTCGGGTGGGTCTAAGAAATTTGTTTTAATACGACCATCAAAGTGGAGTGCGATGCGTCCTGTAAGGGTGCCGCCCACCATCGCAATCCCGATGTTTCCACGCAAGTCACCATCATGAACACGCCCCAAAAGCACTACGCGTTCATTCAGAGGTAAGACAGAGGGAATCCAGTGAAAGCCAGCCGGTGTGTGTGGAAGTAACGCCCCAGGAATGTACACAACCTCACTACATTTAAATGAGCATGGGGCAATGACATGGTGATAGTCTTGTGTGCGCAGGTGCACAACAATGGCCACTCGTTTCTGTCCCTCTGCCACCGGACCCATGGGGCTATGAAAAAGTTGCCGGATGCTGTACGTCATCCCCTTCACCTGAACAAGCTGCTCTTCCAAAACATCTTCTTGAACTGAGAGCACAACCCCATCTGAGGGCAGTGTCACGGGGGACGAGGCTAACGGGCGCGCCTCACTTCCCCACTCCCGCACAAAAAAGTCTTGGAGGGTTAAAAATTCCTGCTGCTTCCCATCGGAGATATCGATGTTATACCACCACATGACAGCCTTAATGAGTAAGCGGTGAACGGATTCCGCGACGTAGACGCTCTCAGTAAAGCATCCAAACGCGTGAGACGCATAATTCAAAGGAAGTAGCAACAACAGCTCCAAGGTGCCAGCTGAGCAAAGATGATTACCTCTGTCAGGATGTCGCAACGCCTCCCACGCGGCAAGCTGATACCGCCCCCAGAGATAGGCGCCTCCAGCGAGTGCAAGACCTCCAAGCAAATAGTGGTACACCCAGCGCCGCATCGGGTTGGTGTAACCCCGCGTCACGTCATTCTTGTAAAAGTGCAGCCTCCGAGTGAGCGTTGTCATTGGAAATTCCTTTTCTCTACAGCGCTCGTCTAGCGCACAACGTTCGTATGTGTGGTTCTTACCCAAGCAGAAATGAATTTCAGATGCGTGTTTCATCAGGGAAAGAAAGAGGAACGCAAAACAAACAACAAAAAAAGGACTAGTGCCGCCTTCCAACGCGATTTTCGTTGGAAACTAAAATCGTTTTATCTGTGAAGAAGCAGTACACTTAACCAAAGCGTAGTATCATCTACCTGGTTCCAAGCGGGGCGCCCAATTTTTGCAAATACCTCTCGCAAAGCTCTTCCACACATAAATATTGGCCTGGATGAAAAAAAAAGGCAAAAAAAAACACCCAAACAAACAACACCGTGCATCAGTTCCAATATGCGCTCAGTTACTCTCCCTGCTGACGTACCGCTTGACCACGGGACTTGTAATTGGCCAGAGACGCTGGCGGTCTATTTCCTTCAAATTGACAAAGCCACGTATGGTGCCTGCACAGTGGACCGAACCACAAAGGCAGACAAATGACGTATTCATGATCCATTCCGTGGTGCAGTAATTAAAGTTCAGCATCTCTCCCATCGTTATATCTCGAATTGCTACAAAATCAAATGTTTCGCTTTCCTCATGTACCACCACTTGTAAATTTGAGTCACAGTGATGAGCAATGCATTCGGCAGCATCCCCAAACAAAAGGTGTTTATCCTCTCCGACACAGACGGTGTACATTGTTGGAAAAGGTACAACCAGCCCCGCGCAGTGGAACAAAAATTCACCAGCGGCGATATTTCTGGCTGCATATGCAGTTTGCCCCATTTCTCCGTTTCGACGAACTTCTATGAGCGGCGATGACGATCTGACAATCCAGCCATCCTGCATGGCCTGAGCACGTACTGGGGGTTCACATAAGTATAACTTACACTGTTTAGTAGCGTCTGAAAGGTGACGAAATCCTCGGCATCCCTCCACAAAAGCGCGTGGAAAAAGGGATACCATATCGTATATAAATAAGTTCATATCAACTGTCAAAACGTCGCCTTCTTCCATGGTGCGCGTGGTGATGAAGCGACCTTCCACAAACACAGTCGTGGCATCTTCCTTGTGTCGGATGACGTAGGCGTCGCCCCCTAGAGAGACCTGCGTTGGTTGAATATCTATTTCTATGCCTTCCAAAAGTACAGTGCCACGGTTCACAGTACGTGTCACCTGCAACATTCCCGCGGTGTTAGCCCTAACGTTGGGTGGTAACTTCACAACGGCGTGAGAACTCGCCAGCTGACGTACTGCAGGTGTCAGTTGCCCTTGAAGGGTCAACCGCTGTGCGCTAGACAAGTACTTAAATCCACGAATATCATGCAAACAGTTGGGACTGTGACAAAGGCAACGAAATGGGGCATACAGTTCCCACTCCACAGCAGCGTAGTTTAAGGCCACACATTCTTCCATCGCAATGTCGCGCAAAGCCTCACACTCAATTTTGTTATTTACCGCATCAACCCGAATACGAATGTTTGGATCACAGCTATGGGAAAGAAACTGCGCCCCACCACAAAGTAGCAGATGCCTTCCCTCGGCTAACTGTACAGTGCCAGCAGTCCCAAACGGCAAGCAAAGCCCTTGAACGGTCATAAACCTCGTGCCAGCGGAGATGTTCATAGTGGCGCGTGCCTCAAATCCCGTGCCACCCTCGCATATTTTAATTAATCGACATTCACATTTCATGCTGTAACCATCCTTCAGAGCTGCAGCGCGTACACTAGGCTCAGCAAAAACCATACAAGCAGGTTTCTTTTCCTCCGTCAAACACTTAAATCCGCGAATAAGATGTGGACTATTAAATTGACTACAACTACACTCAAACGCCTCTGGAAGCAAATAACTCAAACAATTCAAATCCACATTAATTTCATCCCCAGCCGAAACAGCAGAAATCAAAACAACTCGGTTTTCAATGACGGCCGCCGTAGGTGAGCAATGATGACGAAGGCGAAGCCCATCAAGGGAGACGCATCCCCGGACAACTTCGATACATGAAATGTTCATCAAAACAGTTCCCTCCTTCATATCTTCCGCCACGTGCACCACACCAGTGTTACTGACAAAAAAACGCGTAGATGCAAGCTGGGTCCACGCATCTGCCCCCCTTGTCATAGTTACCAGAGACCTAATTGCGGGTGTCGCCATGCCCCATAGCCGCTGTCGCGCCTCGTCCTCAAGATGCTTGAATCCGCGTATTTCACGGTAACACTGCGGTGCCCCACAAAGACAGGTGAATGGAGTTTGCATATCCCACTCTGTGGTAAGGTAGTTGAAGGAAACAAGTTCACCCTTGCTAATATTCCGAAGGGCAAGGCATTCAATTTGTTTCCCCATATTGTCTATGATGACACGAACATTTGGATTACAGCTGTGCGCCAAGCACTGCGCCCCATCTGCAAAAAGAAGATGTTGTCTTTCATCCAACAGGATCGTGTAGATTGTTGGAAAGGGAAGAACAAGGCCTGACACCCTAAAAAAGCGAGCCCTTCCACAATGTCACTCTTAGCAAATGTCGCTTGTCCCATAGGCCCATTGGGTTTCACCTCTACCAGTGAGCATGAGCTTTGGACCCAGCATTTATTGCACCCCCCCGCCGCTCGTACCCGTGGATCAACGTACAACATCTCTGTACTCTTTTGCTCATTTGTAAGCCCAGTGAAGCCACGCACCTCCCCAACGCAGTTTTCTGCACCACAATGACACACAAAGGCCGGCGTGCTGTAGATCAAGTGGTTGATGTTCAGTGTTACGGGATCACCTCTGGGTGATGCACGACACAACACAACACGTCCTTCAAGGAATACAGCTGTGGGACGACACGAATGCCTCAGTCGCACACCGTCCAACACAATTTCTTCGGTTGCAATACAAAATGTTGTGGCAGTAAAGAGTATCACACCCGAGGACAAATCACGCGCCAGACACAGTTCCCCCAAAGGCCCTTGGAGAGAGACCAATGAGGTGTCAAAATTTGACAGTGCACTGCGACGATGCTGGGCAAAAAGCGATTTCACACCACTACTTGTATGCGGCCAGAGGCGGAGTTGAGTCTCCTCGTCCAGGTGACGAAATCCTTTGATCATACCAAAGCAGGATGCACTTCCGCAGCAGCATTTAAATGGCGACGCCATGTCCCACTCGGAGGTCAAATAATTGAAGGATACAATTTCTTCTGGTTCAATGTCACGTATGGCCACACAAGTGGCCATTCCATTCGCGGCATCTACAAAAAGACGCGTGTTAGGTTCACAGCTGTGCGCCAGGCATTGTGCCCCAAAAGCGAAAAGCAAGTGCCTGTCATCCCCGAGATAAACCGTATAAATCGTTGGAAAGGGAATAACAAGACCTCTCATATGAAAAACACGACTTCCCTTTGGAATAAAGTCGGCAGCATACGTCGCCTCCCCCAGGGAAGGATGTCGTCGTATTTTTACGCAAGAACTTGAACTTTGCACAGTAAATCCATGACGGAACGCTTCTACAAGAACAGAGTGCTCCACAAACGGCATGAGGGAACTTTTTTCCTCGTCACTCAACGCCGAAAACCCTTTAACCAGGTGCGAGTGAGTTACAGATCCACAGTGACATTCAAAAGGAAGCGGCAATTCATAAAACAGGGTAGATAGGTTTAGTGTGAGCGGGTCGCCAGGAAGAAAAGGTCTAGATGCCACCAAACGACCTTCCAAGAGAACAACATTTGCATCACAGCTATGCGGAATATGCAAAGTGTCAAGAACGACCTCTCGAGTACGCACACAAAGACGGTTGACATTCATCAAGACTGTACCAGAGGCGACGTATCGTTGAGCAGCCACTCTTCCCTCAAATGTAACGGCTAATGCCGTTATTTTTTCTAAAGATGCCAAAGAAGCAGTACATGGAATCGGTGCGTTGTACTTTTCCTTAATTGCAGCACTGGCATTCTGCAATAGACGCGCCTTTTCTCCGGTGTCCAAGTAATAAAAACCCCTTATGAATGCATAACATGAATCCGTGTTACACGTACAGTGAAACGGTTCCGCAATATCCCACTCTGTACAGAGGTAATTGTATGTCAATTCCTCACCCTCTTCTATGAATCGGAGGGCGACGCCGCGAATGGAGTCCCCCACAATCTCAAGACGCAGGTTTGGCTGACAGGCGTGACGGATAAACTCCGATCCCCCAGTAAGACGAAGGTGTTGGTATCCTGGAAGCTCAATTGTACTGCGCACTGGAAACGGAAGTAAAACACCAGTGGAGGTAAATACTGTACTCATGGGCTCGTGGGTCCCCCGCGACACGGTTAATAGGTGCGAATTTCGTGTTTGCACCACCTTGATTCCACCTTCACTGCGATTTGGAATAAACCCGTCCATGATCGCTCGCTGCCGCACGTGTTCATCTGCATACCTGTAAAGATGATGCTTTTCCTCCTCCGTGAGGTTTTTAAACCCTGTGAGGGATGAACCTCTCCTGTCCCCCACGTCGTAAAGAAATGTGTTGAGATTAACCAAAACTTCCTCGCCCAGTTGAAGATCCTTCGTGGCGATGATAAAGCGGCTGATGATGGTGGCGTTGAATCTCGTGTCGTGTTTCAGGCGACAGCCATCCATGAGGACAAGGGCGTCAGACTCAAGAGTGTAGTCTGCCGAGACCGGGCAAATAATTTCACCTCGTTTGAAGGATGTCGTTGCCCTCATGCTCTGCGACTTCAATGAAGTAAACTTGTCCCACATCGTCTGACTTCAACAACCGCAGGAAAATTGATCAGGAGCACCTAGGCCAACAATTTTTTTATTTTTATTTTTTAAATTAAATGGAGCACTGCCAACACCGCCGAGGCGTTGACAAATTATTTATGATAACTGTTTCTGTTTTACTTTATTGTTCTCTTGCCTCTTGTGCTTGCTTAGACTCTCTGTTTTACCTTGTTCTGGTGCGCGGTGTAGCGCAAGGACGGCAGGGAACAAGTAGGAGGCTGAGGTGGAGGATCAGTAGTCGAAATCCACGGGGAACTCGCCCCACAGCTTGCCCTTCCCGACCTGAAAGAGCGGTGGACAAATGAGATGCAAGGAAAAGCCATATAAAGCAGAGAAATGCCCAAGCCGCAGGAACAACTGAAATACAAGCGGTAGGGAGAAGCAAGACGTCAAACACAACCACCCACACACAACCAATTAAAAGTAAGGGTAGGAAAGAGCATAAAAGGGTTCAAGATTGACACACATTCTTGGAAGAATGCATCTCTGCTTCCGACGCTTTTGCGTTAGCCACATGCAGATATCCATCGTGATGGAGTGCACGATACACGAGTGCGGCACCGCTAGAACGGCACAAAGAAGAACGCTCCGTCACCATGCCTACAGCAGATGCCGCTTCCCCTCGGTGACGAAACACAACGTGTAGCTCAAGGGGGGAGGCAGGATGCACATGGGTGACTATTGCACTAAAGGGAGGCTGCGACACCAGCGCCTGCACGTATATCAACTGCAGGGCAAACATAACACGGAACTTGACTCCTCGATCCGTACGTCGCACTGTGTCCCCCGCGTCAAGAAAAATAACCTCAGTGCCACGCAGAAGCATGTACATCGGTGTGCCGGTAGCTACTTTTGGCGATGATGCGCCGAGCAAAAAGCGCCCCTTAACAAATTCACATCGAAAATACACCCGATCACGTTGTGGGAGACGCACAGTTTCCCCCGTATGGTGGCGAACACCATACTTGCGGAGCGCACGCAGAAAGCCATCTTCCTTACCCATCATTTGGTGGGTGTGATGACGCACGGTTAACCACATCCAGAACTCATTATCTTCCTCCTCTAAATGATCAAATGCGGCACGAAGTCGAGGTGGAACTAGCGCTGCGACGCTCCTTTGCATCGCAACGTACTCTTGGGCGTGGTTAAGTTCAAATTCCCAGCGAGTTACCTGATTGCTATCGTTTTCTTTCACTCGCTCAGACTTAATAAACTCAAGACTGGGAAGGAGTGGCAACAACAGACTCGCCTCCTTACTCAAGCTGACACGTGATTTCTCTCCAAAAGGATTAAATTCTCTAGCCACATGCTCAAGTTTGACAAAAAGAAGTTCGTGGGGCGACCGCAACCACCGACCACTGCTCTTTTCATCGTTGCTTGTGGTGGTTTCGGCATCAGTGGCATTCGGACTAGTCATTGTGGTCGTATTACATAGTGCGGCAGACTTCAGCGCGGGCGTGACGCCGTCATTTTTTTGCAACGCCAAGGATTCAGCGCACGCCGCTGCCCGACGCACAACGACAGAGTGACAAAGGAGCAAAAGCCCCCTAAACAGAAAATAACTTTCGCGCTTGTCGTGAGCAAAGTCCATAAGGACACGGAGGCCCACGTCAAAAACGGAAAGACGAGTGCACGCAGGGCTCGTAATGAGGTGGTAAAGAGCTGATATGAGGCCCTCGCACCACCGCCGTATCCCTCCTTGCCGCACACGTTGGCACATACACCGCACAAATACCTCACAGGAGACCATTGACCGCGGTTGAAGTGGAGGTGGAAAAGAAGGAGGAGGTTCGCTGTGTGGTTGCCTAATGCTCCAGTTCCCATTCAACATGTCTGTCACTGCGGGCACCCCCCTCTCCTCAGACGCATCCCTTGAGGTTTCCTCATTGCCGTCAGCAGTCATTCCATCTTCTTCATCCCTGGTCCCTTTTTCAATGAGTCCAGCAAGAACCACGGCATTCAGAAGCATGACAGCCCCCGAAAGGACATCGGCGCACTTACTTTTCAGCAAACGTCCCAACACAGCGCCACGGGGGTCAGCAAAATTTATCAGCCTCACTTTGAAGAGACGTTGAAGTCGTTCTGCTTTATTTAACGGTATCCACCGGGTGAGCACGGAAAGTGAAACAGAAGCGGAAACACATGTGCAAAAAGATGGGCGTTTAGCAAAACAACAAACGCTGCAGGGCGGATTCTCGAGCAACATCACTAACGGTGTAAGGACAACCTCGTCAAGGACATGCTCCAAGCAGGGAGGAACAAAGGTGTGTGGCACAACAAAGAGATCGTTAATGTAAAACAAATCGTCCACAATATCCTCCAAACGGTCACTAAGAGTAGAAATACCTATGGGATGTAAAGACCTCTCACTAGTACGCTCCACATTGCCGTACTCCGCTACTGCTTCCGCAAGGTTTTGTATTTGCAACCACAAGAGTGTCGAGATCACCTTAAATACCTCCCGCAGTGCGTCTTCAAGAAAGATCGTAATGGCTTGCTCATGGAGCTGAGCAACGCTAATGACAACTTGCCTTGCAGCCGCACGTACCATGCGATCCGGCGCAGCAAGTAGTTTTGACGCCCTGTCAAAAAGCGGAAAGGAACGTGTTTCTCGCTCAAAAAAAAATTGCACTGTATCGCCGTTTAAACGGAGTGCCAGAGACTTCAGGAAGGAAACGTAAGTTGAGAGGAGCTCATCATCGGTTTCATCGATGAAGATTGATATAATCCTATTAAGGTGGTTGTTGCTGCAAATAAAGTACATCGATGACTTTCGCGTCAGGTTTTGTAGCATCATGGTGATACATTGTATGACCTGGACCTTCACAGCGGAGGGAAATTCCGCATTCGTCACAATACGCTCAAACGTACCCATCATACGACGCTCCAAAAAGCTGTCAAAGACCGACTCGGCATTCTTGTCACTCCAAATAAGGACCTCCGCCAGCTCTCGCAGGGCCTCTACAAAGGCGTGGAGGTAAAACATCTGGGAATCCTCCATCCGCTGCACCTCCTGGCAGAGGTAGTCAACATTTGCCTGCGAAAACTTATTGTGTCTGGATCCCGAAAGCCTCTTCATCTATGTGCAGCGCTTTGACATACGGCAACAAAGCCAACCGCGCGTTAGTGAAGAGAAGAAACATTAATGAAAGGGCGAAATAAAGCATAATAAATAAATAATGATAGTGAGCAACGGCAGGATAAAATGAAAAAAAAAAAAAAAATCACACAGTCACACACACGTATTGCAAAAACGTAAATAACGGGGTATAACTTTACTGTGACTTGAGCAGCGCCTCCACCGCATAGTTGATGTGCCGCCTTATCGTTTCGTACGATAGAAAATATTTCCCGTCCTTCCAAGCATTATGAAAGATGGCATGATACGTCACATTAATGCTGCTCGCTGTCGTGTGATAGCACATGTTGGCGTACCTATACGAAATAAATTCCATCAAATGTGAGCCATGGCGCATCCACATCGCGTTGGCGAGATTGGAGCCATGCGGGCCAACAACTATGTCTGCATCGTAAAAGGCATGTATCTGCTCTGCCACATGCAAATTGCCGGATAATGCGCGAAATTCAAAGAGTGCGTCATATTCTTCCAAGATCTGCTGCTTCAGCTTGTGGTAATTGAACGGCATCCTCGATAGCCTGGCGCGTTCTGCAAAAAGAAGACGAAGCTTCCGCTGCGTGACAGGAAGGGGAGGCATCAAATGGAGTCGTTCAAAGACAATGTCACGTAGGGCGTACGTCAAGTGTGTAAATGGCGTCCCACAAACATTTGGAATGGGATAAAGAACCAAATTCCCATGCACTGGAAGCGTCTTACGCATAATACGACCAGAAGGAATACCAAGAACATCGATTAACCACTGTCGGTGGAAGCTTTTCATGGGGGCATATAACACCAGTACCGCGTCTTCTCGCTCAAGTAATATTTTATGCACAAGCGCCAAACGCGGCAAATGCTCATGTGTAAAGTGATAATATCCCTTGCACCACTCATCGCAAAGGGCGACGACAACGCCACGCCAGTCCAGTTGTTCTGTACTTTGAATTATTGGCAGATGCCAACGTCTTAGACAGCCTCCACACGTGTACACGTTACCACCACATGTGATAACAAAACTGTTGGAGACCACAGCATTAAAAAAAACAGCCATGTACAGCGGGGGTTGTGGCCGCAGAAATTGGCTCTCACTGTACTCCTCATCCAGTGGCAAAGCCCATTCCCCATCACTCCTGCTAGGGAGTGCCCGGCTATCACGTTTGTTAGGCAAGGGGGAACAAAAAAAGACTCTCCATAGCCCAAACCTTTTCTTTATATCAAACTGAGGTGATAGGACCACTGGTGTCTGCCTCACAATCCATGGAAGCGAATCAAAGAAGACAAATACCCTACTCTCAGCTTCCTGCTGAAGTGCATTAAAAAATGCCACGGGGGTTAGACTATGTTTCACCCGTGCATTTTTACTCTTATATTCAAATCGGGTGATTCGCCTGTTTAGTGGATAGGCAAAGTGACAGCTCTTATTCAGGTTTGTGATATTCGGTGACTGCTCGCGCAACTCGTGAAGGCGCTCCGCAAAGAGTTCTATGCTCGCCCTAATCTTCATCCGCGCAGATTCCATCTCCAGCGACACGTTCCACGCCGAAACTGCCAACTCAGCCACATGTGTTTGCGGCTGTCTCCCGGGCACGGTGTTTCCTGGATCCGCCGTCTCTGAAAACTCCGTCGCATAGCCAAGGGCAAGCGTAAAAAAGACGAACACCGTCACCAAAGCGGCACCTGACGCAAAAAACCGAATCCTGCACCCAGGAATTTTTGTCCTCCGATTTCGGTTTTGCATGAACGTTACCCGCATTTGCTACCGCCACACCTGCATGTGTATCAGAGAGACCCGTTGTTGACGCCAATCCACCCTGCCCACCGCCAAAGAGAGACGGCCACACAGACACAAAGAGAAAATGAAACAAAGAGAGGGAAGTAAAACAACAACAAGAGCACATGCCCCTCACTCTACAGGAAACAAGTATAAAAAAAATTTACATTATAGCACGCTTACAAAAGGCGTATTCGGAGATTCCCCACCATCCCCTATCCTTAAAGACAGCGGTCACATTTGCGTGGCACAAAGAAAAGAAAGAAGCACACATAACGTAAGACACAACAGAGCCGGCAGGACGGTAGCTGAATGAATCTCCTGGCATGCGTATTTGTGTGGATGTGATAGTCACACTAAGGCCACGGCCCACGAATGACATCTGTTTCGTGCCGTTGTGAATGCCTTCAAATTTCTTCGGCCCCAATCTTATCATCGTCATGATATAAACTCGTCACTCCCCAATAACGTATCTCCTGATGCAAACTTATGCATCTTTTGCCTCTCCAACAGTTGCAGAAGCAGGGCTGCCTTTGTTTTCTGTTGGTGGCGCGATCGCCTTGCAACTAACACATGGCGCTTCCCGGCCATCAACAGTTCCGCCACCCCCGTATTTAAAAAATCAACAAAACCAACGAAAAGCATCGCTTCCGGAGCCTCAATAAATCCTGCAATTGAAAAGGCACCCTCATTTTTATCAAATGGAATTGAGACGAGGGACCGACCCATGGTACTCACCACCAACTCTGCATAGCCTCTTGGTCCAAGCAAAGACGTAAGACTGAAAAGACCGCGACTTAAAATATGACCAGCAAACATGCCATTCTCATTCTCTGATTGCCTCATAGTTCCAATTTGTTGTATGGATGTGGGGTCCGCCGTGGTGTTCTGTACATCGCTTTGGGCCTCTTTCGGTCTCCGCCGGTTGAAGACGTGGCGAAGAGACGAAATGTCAGAAAACCTCTTTAAGCCGACGGTGACTGAGCGCGCACTGGCGGGTCCTTCGATGGCGGAGCTGCTGCTTGAGCAGGGGGCTCGGTGCTCTGCAAGAGTGATGAAATGTTGAATATCTGGAACAACTTGTACCGATTCCGTCCCCCCTGTAAAGTCCCGAAGAACAATAACACGACCCAAACTGTCAAGAATAACAAGACACGTCGGCGCATCGTCTTCCACAACTGCTTCCGGCGTGTTATTTAAGTTCAAGGATGTCTTTGCCTCTTGCCGATGTACCAGCTCCGTGACTACCCCAATACGATGCCGCTCCTCACCTTTGTTACACTGAGTGTTCACAAACGCAAGATCCGAAATGGGACCACCAAAACGGTAAGAAACATGGCTGCAGTCAGAGTGCAAAATATGCAAGTGACCATTTGTTGTTCCAACCGCTGCAACAACAGAAGACTCCTCCTGCTGAACCGCAAGAGCACAGACAACACCATCGGAGAGAGGTTGTTCTATCCACGGGGCAACCCACGCGGGAGCCTTGGCAGTCCAGATGACATCCCACCTGTAGGTGTTCTTCTCTATCACCGCGTTACAGAGGACAAATGAAAACATTCCTGATACGTCCCCACGTGGATCTCCCGGTGTAAGAATGTGGCGCTGATGCTCTTCACTAAGCGTAAGACAAGCATCTTTCCGCACGGTTTCATCATAGCCACTGCAGAGCACAACATGTTTGCCTTTGCAGGAGCCGGTAACGAATGATGGATGATAAAAAAGACGCAACACACGTTGTTGGTTTCGTTCATGAAGAAATTGTGTCTCAATAGACCTAACGGGAGCATTCTGTGAGGTGGAAAGCGCCTGCAACAAAGGGAAAAAAAGAGCTGTGAGATGCTGCTGCCGCCGCCCACCATCGTCCTCCCACGCAACTATAGCACATACTTCATCAGCCTCTGCACAATTCTTCTGCTTACTAGAAATATTAGGCGTTTCGTGCGCCGTAGGAGACAAAAAAAACGCCACAAGTGAGTTCAGTCGAGCCACTTTCGCCTCCATATGCGGTCGCCACAGCTGCACTGAGGTGAGTGAGCCATCACGCACGCTTAAGTCTGGTCCCAATAGGTACACCTCTTCCCTTGAAGCGACAACGCAGCAAGAAAACCCGGCGAGACTTCCCATTTGGTACTCCAGGACTGCCACACACCCGATCGACGGGATGCCTGGTATCTCCGTTACCTCACCGCATGCTGGCGGCAACGATGTCGCATCCATCCAGCGTAGCAAACTCCACGCAGACCTACTTATTAACTTCGTCATGTAGCAGAGCAGCAAAACGAAAAGAGCGGAAGTGAAGGTCAAGGTAAAACAGTTTTCTCCGCTTGTTTCCATAAACGTAAATTAGCTACCGATAAACCCGCGGACGAAATTCGCAGAGACAGACATGCAGACTCGATCTTCACGCTGCGAGGGAAAAAAAAAGCCCTTAGACTCGCCTCAATAAAATACCAATAAAATGATAACAATAAAACAAAGCAATAAACACACAGTTGCAGAGGCACACGTAGCATACACTAAGGAATATATATATATATAATATTCTTGAACCCTTAGTAGTTGCGCCTTTGCGTAACTCCTTAAATTTTGAATATATCTGTACTTAAGCCGCATGAAAAATAAAAAAATAAAAGTGATACTTTTTTTTTGTCCCATGCGGTGCGCATTTTGGAACGTGTGCTCTGTTGCAGTCAAGTTGGCTCGCATCTCACGCAACTGCGCACTCAGTCTTTCTCTCAAGTTTTGATTTGTATTCATAGAAGAGGACCTCGGGTCACACAAGGCACCGGTGTGTAAGGCCGGCAATACATTTTACGTGGGAGCCGGTACCCGCCATTCAGAGCTCCATCGCAAGAAGAAATTGTACCACCCACCCTGCTACATGAATTGCAAGATAAAACTTTGCTTTTAGCTGCAGATGGTGCAAAGCAACGATTCCGTCCCTTGCGGGGGCAAAGGCATATGGGATTCCAATGACAGGCTCCATCAGGATAACGAATCCAGCGCATAGGCAAACTGCGATGTAAAAAAAAAAAAGTCAATCAACAGTGTCCGTCTAATCCGCGCAACAAAACTTCGCGCAGTGGTAAAAATAACCGTGACACGGACGATAAGCACCAGATTGTTTCCCCACTAGCTGCAGTAGGCCCCCATTGAATACATGGCCCTCTTCGCCAGAATGTGGTGGCGCTTTACACGAGAACCAACACTGTAGGTGTCTCCTTCCCCTCAAAGGGGGAGCGAAACAAGAGTGTGCAAGAGGAAGAGAATGGGGAAAAAGGAACAAGGAAACAAAATAAATAAATAAAGTAAAACTATGCATGTAATACATTGACCAATGTCATTTTCACTGCTTACCATTGAATTGCCAAACACATACCTCAGTGGTAGTTTCACATGCCATTATTGAGGCGGGGAAACCAACAACAAAAAGCGATAGCTAGCTAGCTCGATGGATAGAGAGAAAAAGAGAGAAAAGAGAGAGGGAGGGAGAGAAATAATAATAATAACAATAAATCCAGCAAAAGAACAAAATCAGTAACAACTGCAGCAGTTCCAATATGCAGCTCGTCATGGTGGTTGTGGTGGCGGCGGGGTCTGCATGCTAAGAACGGAGAAAACTTGCGTGCCCTCTGACGCAGGCAGACCCGCGGTAATCCAGTGACAAGGACTATAATTCCCTCTTCCACTCTTTTTGCTCTTTGTTTTGCTCTTTTGTTTCGCTTCAACCTCCCCCCCTTTCACCTTCACCATTTCCCTCTTGATACCTCATCCCCGCTCACTGTGTGTGTGCGTTTCCCCACATGGAGCGTTGCGCACAGAATCCACCTACCAGATGTGTGTATTTCCGCTGCGTAGCTTCACGAACTGATATCCCTCTTCTTCTAATAGGCGTTTGATGTGGATCTCCGCGATACGCTCTCTGCGCCTTTGGAGAGCGACACCAAAGTGATCACAGGCCTCTTGTACATGTGTAAGAGAAGCATTCCACCAAACCTTCATGCGGAAAACAACCTCCCTATGAAGCATAATGGTGTCTCGGTCTATCTCTGCCTGCTGACGCTCAAGCTCGCGTTGATGCTGTCGCATCTTTTCCTTCAACTCATTGAATGAGCTCGGGGCAGTGAAGTCGGGAATAAGACTCTGCGGATCCATCATTGCCAGACGGTTAGATTCCACCACGCGCTGCACACACAGCTCCTCTTCCTCATGAGCGTTGCTCATAGATTTGCTGAGAAGATAATAGACAACCCAAACGGTGGTGGCTCCAATGCCCATGGAGGCCAGAAAAACTTGAAGACGCCGTGCACTAACAAACGGTGTCGGTTCCACATACGGCTGCAGAAGCTCGGGCGCCTCCGATGACGATGGAACGTACCTCGAGAGCTGTTCTGACTCCGTTGTACCCCCCCCTTCCTTTTCGACCGCACTCAACGATGACTTGGCCCTCACCGCCAGCGCCAGAAGGACGCCACTTGACCGTTTCAGCATCCCTAAACTTCACCTTCCTGGCACCCCAACTACAACCCCTGCGCGCACAAAGAAATAGAGAGACCGACAGAAACAAACAAAAACATCAGCAATAATAATAATAATAAAAGGGTTAACGAAAAACAATAATAGGAGGCATTCAACCCAAACGCGCACACACACATAAAAACCCGCAGAGGGGGGAAAAAAAATGGTAATGAAAGAAATGTATCCAATCGTTTCCCGCGTCAATGACTATAGTCTAGTCAAAATTCCCATGACTGGCGACACATCGGGCACGCAGCATTACCTTGCTCGCGCTCAGTCCACTGCTCAATACAATGAATGTGAAACGTGTGTGTGCACTTCCCTGTGAGAATCGGGCAGTCGTCTCCGGGAAAGCGACATTGTGGGCAACACGCCTCGAATTGTTGTCGGCAAATACCACATGTATCATTGCGACAATCCCACATCCAACGTCCGACTAAGTGGGCACCCTTAATTTTCACATCCATTGGAACAGAGACGGTGGCTCTCTGTCCATCAGAAAATCACAACAAAACCAACAATAAGAGGGGACAAAAAAGCAAACAGACAGAGAAAAGATGACAAAATGAATACAGTCATACATAAAACCTGTCCCCTCTGTCAAGGGAAAACAACAAAAAAAAACATTTATCTAGCTAATTCATTGGGGGAAACTAGAGTTGTTTTGCCACTCGTCGAAGCTTGGATTCGACTACTAATCCGCGCTACTTCCTCAAGTAGGCAAGAGGGTAGCTGCCAATCTTCTTTATTTGTATCTGACATTTTCTGTTTCTCCTCTTTAGCCATGTCATTTTCACTGCTGGTCCCACCAGGAGCTATCATGTAGTGCAGTGGATCTTGCAGCTCCTCATCGTTCCAGTCACGTGCATTTATGATACAATTCCCGTTTGACAAATCACCCATCAAGGTCTTCTCACGCTTGGCTAATATCATTTCACCAATTGTGGCGTTCCGGGTCAAAAGGACGTCCTGTTGCTGCATCTGCTCCTGCAGCTGTTTCCTAAGACGGTGCGCAATGTGTTTCCTTAGCTTTCGTTTCTCCATTTCACCAACACCGTCAGGGGCGTACACGCTGGGGTAAAATACATTGGTTTCAGGCTTTGCTTTTGAAATTGTCTGCAGCTTTTTTTCATCTGGCATGGACGAAATGAATGAGGCAAAAAATTCCACAACGCAAAGGGAAAAGAAAACAGCTGACAGAGCAATAGTTGCGTGGACTGGATGACGAGCCTGAACCTTAATCGCATAGTCCGGACAGAGTTCCTGAGCAGCGCTACAGAAGACCGCCGTGTCTCCCTTAAACGACGAACACGGCACCTCATGCGTCGTATGGGAGAAAATATATAGTGTGTATGCAGCAAACGCAGACGCAATTGCATTAACGACTATGTGAAGAGCCATCATAACGATATAAAACAAAGGACGCGAATTTTCTAGTGCTGCTGCCCGGGTTGTAAAATAACTCACCGCTACCGCCAGAAGGGATGCCATAAACATACACGACGTTGATGCAACAATAAACCCACCTGGGCTTGCGAGATGACTGAAGAGAAACGCTTCCGTGGCTTTTAAAAGTGCGGGATTCTTTTTGACATCGCAAAAGGGGTTGCTTTTAACGTTTTCAGACGCGTCTCCTGCCCCAACTAGACAGATTCCATCAGAAACACGACAACAGCGTGTCTCTAGGGTGAATCTAACGTAAATAATCAGCGCAAGACCGGCAGCAAACGCAGCTAGTGCCACGGCAAAGGTGACAAGAAAGCGAATACAGTTGCAACGCAGAGCTGGATGTAAACCACGCCGCAACACCTCCATAACCTGAAGGTCCAGTTGCCTAATGTTGGGATACCTCATTCCAGTGAAAGGTGAGTTGGCTGGGGCCGACTCCCCATCATTCTCCCCTCTCACCGTCTGCATGTCCCCACGCAGTCTCACAGGCACTCGTTGCGGATTGTAGACGGTTCGGTCAAGCATCATTGTCTCCAAGTTGAAGCTCTGTGTCATTTCTCCGCAGGTGACCGTTAAGGCACGTGTCCTACGGAAATTTGTCACGTCATTGAAATCTTGATTGTCAGGGGTTTTAGAAGGCTGCATCATTGATCGTTGGGTTTGAAGCCGCACCGGAAGCAGCAACGGACTCCAGTACCCCTCGCTGGGGTTAAACTCCAATGCAATAAGGGTACGAAAACTTGGGCACGATCGTCTTCTCATGCTGGCAACAGTGTGTATAGAGGAGCGATGGGCGGTATTGGCGCACGACACAACCACTGACCTTCTGTCAGTTGACAAAACCACCACATCCACGAACAGTTCGTTGAGAAATCGTAAAAAGCGGCGTAAAAGCAGCTTGCTCTTCTTTGTTCGACGTTTTACTTCAACCCCACGCAGGAAACGGTCTCGTGCGGCTTCAACAATGTCATTGGTGCGTCTAATGTTCCTCCACAAGCAAAGTGATGCGGCAACAACAACGTTTTCCACACGAAGCGGGGACGAAATAAAGTCGGTTGGTTGCAACTTTTCCACCGAATAAGACTCTTCATGTTCGGCAAGACAAATTGCAAGCTCTGGGGATGTGTTAACATCCTCCAAGTAGGTCTCTGCCACCGGTTGAAGTAGTACAACCTCGCGGCCCAGGTCTAACGTCTCCGCGGTGTCCGTCGCCAGAGCAGTAATGTCGCGACGTCGGTACACACGTAGGCGAATAATGGGATCAAAGTCAGTCGCAAAAACATCACTGTTGACAGAAAAACAGCGGGGTGAATCCATTCATGTACAAGTTGTGCACCTACAACACAGGGGCAAATAAATAAAAACATTTAAATCAAATAAATAATAAAAGGAGGAGGAGCAGGAAAAATGGAAATAAAAACCCAAAAAATATATTTACAAAAACTGTTAGATGCACTAAGATGCACATGTGACCTACACACATGGGCTTCTCATGCCAAAAAAGAAAGAAACAATCGGAGGAGGGAAAAGAACCCAATAAAAGTGACCAGCGTGAAAGTAACGTGTTGGCACCGCCCTCCCCACACCCACCTTCTTAAGCTTCCCCTAATACATGCATAATCGCTGTCCAAAAAGACCGCAATCTTCTCACCCATCTTCTTCCTCTGGAGTTGCCTCACTCACACTGTCGTTGTCTGATAGCTCAGCCCCGACGGGGTAAGTGGTCATCGCATTGACATCAGCTACCAGTTGCTTGAACGACTCAAAGTCTAACGCGCCTGCAACATATGCCGTACAAAGGTATCGACAATAATCGTGCTCTTGCCGCCACTCCTTCATTACTGCGGCAGCCAATTGATCTAAATCGATGGGGCACCCGGCCTCCATTTCACGTGCAATAAACGTGTGCAGCAAAGCATCCACCACCGCGGTGTACTTTTTAAACAAAGCATATAGTTGCAACGACTCCTGCGTGTCAGTAGAGCGTCCCAGCAGCCGCATGACGCCCTGCTCCTCTGATAGAAAATTGCCGATCGCATCCGTATTCGCCCCTTCACTGAAAAAAGCGTCCAAGCGCTCAAGAAGAAAATCCCCGTCCATATAGAACTAGATAACGTTTGCTGTTACCGTTCTAAAAAAAAAGAGCCCCCTTTTGTTTGTTTTTCCTTCTCTCTACCAATCCCTTCAGTCTGCCTCTTGGTCAGCGCGCGTTCTTTTCTCCCTCGTTGCCCCTTCCCTATATGTATGTTCCTCCTCTAGCGTCTGTAGAGCTGAGGAGGTCACAGAAGAAATCAAGAGGCACGACACTTCCCAAAAACAAAACAAAACGCGGGGCATACCAAAAAAAAAAACACAATGATAACTCTCTAAAGGCACATGTAAACACGACTTCCTTCTCTCCCACAGAGCCTCTTGCACACGCACAAACGGATTTTTTTCTTTTATTTGTACCTGCGCTCAATAGATTTATCAACGTGATATAAAAAAATGAATAATAATAATAATAAATTAATAATATTCTGGAGAAACAGAATGAAAGCGAAAGGGTGACGAGGTGTGAGGGGAGGAAGTAGAGGCTTCTTATTTTTAAGTTTGCTGCATCCCCAAGGGAAACAAAATATTTTTTTTTTTTTAATGCCCTTTTCCTGTGTTCTCAAAAAGACCCAAGATCTCTTTTTTTTTTTTCTCTCTCACTCTCTCTCCCTCGGTTCCTTTCCCTTTCACGCTGTGTCAACAAAAAAAATTTCATTTTTCCTTGCCTTCATTCGTTCTTTCTTTTCCGTGTAGCTCTCTTTAAATTGTTCTCCTACGACACTTAACGGCTTTTACTTGCTGTCAAGATCCTTCAGATCGGCTGCAGGGGCCTGAGCCGCAGCATCACCCTCTTCGTCGTCCGAGTCTTCCATTCCTTCCATTCCTCCCATTCCGCCCATTCCTCCCATGTTCATCATGTTTGAAAGATCACCATAATCGCCGAAGCCTGGAGGAGCATCGTCTTCCTCGTCCTCGTCCTTCCAAAGGTTCCAGTCCACGGAAAGCCAATTCGCGGTGCTGCTGCCTGACTGGTTCACAAGTTTGTTCCAGTACCCCTCCTCCTTCTTGGTCGCACACACCTGGATAGCAACGCCCAAAACCTTGAACGTAGACTTTTCGGGAACAATCTCCTTGAGGAGGGTGATCTGGTCACTTAAGTCGTGTGGCTCGGGAGCCTTAGGCGTAATGCCCTTCCCAGTAATGCTGATCGTGTTTTCCGTGAATTTCACGTTAACGTCCGTGGCACCGCTCACTTGCAGAGTGACATAGAGCTTGTCCTTACGTTCAGCCCACTTGGTTGGGATGTGCGCCATTTCGTTTCTTTTATGATAAGCCTTGTGTTACTTCTCACTATTGTTAGCAGT